GTTTAATTAGTTATATATGGCAGTTTAGTAGCATTACCTCGTCAGTAATATAATTGCATTGCATGATGTTATAGATTAATATAGATTATTATAGCAACATAACCGCAACAGCATAAATTTTGATAATGAAAATTTTTAAGTTATCGGCAAATTGCTGGCAAGTTGCTACTGAAAATTGTCATATCGTGAAGGCATCAACTTGCCAACAAATGCAGACTCAGTTGTTGCAATTTCGGATAGTAACATATATTTATTTGCAAGCAATATAAGCAACAAGATAAACTCGTTGTTATCTAGAAATCAAATCCTTTATATTTCTCGAATTTACATTTTATATAAAAAGTCGTCTACAATAGGAATAATATAGTATAATAATTTGTAAGTTATAAGAAATTAACTAATTATATCGAATGAGGAGAATAATCGATTATAGTTGATCAATTTCTTACAGCTTACGGTTTATTACACAATATTATTCCCCGTTATAAACGGAAAAAATATGCAGAACATAAGAGAAACAAATTTCTCAAAACAGCAATCATCTACACACACAAGCTTTGCTCAGATTTTAATATCGTTAGATGATTTGTTTCTTTTATTTGATATCGTTACAACTATTCATGATAATTGCTTATGTTCCTTAACTTACCAATACGACAAGTAAAGAATTTATAACACCTGTACCCATGCTGACCATGATACAAATTACAGTTTGCGTTAATAAGATTATTTTGTAAGTTCTTTTTGTGTTCACGTCAAAAGGAAGTTCCATTCTGTGGATGTATAACAACTCGGATGTATGATCAGTGACATCAACATCAGCCAAGATGACATTTACGCAGTATGTAAAAGCACTGATTAATTGAAGAAGTACTATCACGATATTAATGCGATTCGACAGTTTCGCTTTGCGTATCATTTCATGTATGTAGATTTCATTGTCGGCACAACTATCCCAATCTTCCGTCATCATTTCCAAAGTTTTGTAGAATTTTCTGTGGATGATTTGGTTCGTCGATTATCCTATCGATCACAAATTTCAAGGCCTTAAAAAATTGTCATCTCCCAAATGTTATTGGACAGTTTTAATAATATGCTTCAACTTTCTCGAATCAGCTTCCACGCTTTTTACATTTTTTTTAATTAAATAAAAATGCAAACCAATATTAAACGTGTAAATATACATATAATTATTAAACGCAACCATATCTTTGAATGTGATTTGATTAATTAAGACAAAATGTGATTTAATTAATTAACACAAAATGTAATTGATTAAATCATTTAATTATAGATTTCCTTTCATCACGTTAATTATTTAAAAATACATCACATGTCACTTAACTGTCATTTGATTATAAGCAATTTATATCATTTATCATATTATTTATATCATTATTTATGTCAATCATTATACTTACCGTTGGTTTATCCAAAGCACAATAACTTTAGTCGTGAATTTCATATATGACATACAGCTACTCAAACAATCCATCAAATTGGAAAGTTCATCGGAATTAAAATGTATCAAAAAATAACGATAATGATAGAATTGCATAATTATTGTTATAATAATCCAAAATAGTTTGCAAAATGGAATGCGTGAATCTGGCCATATTCCGTACAAAGTGCAAATAACTTCTAGCATGCGATCAATAATTCTTTTACGGATCATTATATTCTGTTTACTTCTTATTCTGTTTTACTTCTTTTTCTATGCAAGAGCGAGCAGAAAAAATGTATTGTATGACAAATACTTTAAATGAAGTAAAAGGAAATACAATTTGATTACTTCTGCCAGATGTACGTTTCGATGGATTGACGTGTATCACACAATTATTGCGTACGTAAAGACTGGGCGCCCTAAAAGGTTATCACACGAATTTACTCTTGAACTATCGACCAATGGAAATAGCTCATTAAATATTTTTATCGTATTCTCTGTAAACTCCACACATCTGTTGTGGGTTCTGACAATTTTAATAAAAAAGAGGAAACAGATGGGATCATTTCTCTCTTTCACCGAGAACTCCGATGACGCAAATTGCTCTCTTTAAATAAGCAATGATGTGCGTGAATATAGTATATTCATACAGTATATTCATGACTGCTCAGTGAGCTTTGAAAATATTTTAAAGTTTGGAAGACGATAGAGAATAAGAAAAAATAAATTACTGCGTATCTATATAGCTTTCTATGTATCTTCTACTTGTGAACTCGATTTAAAGAAAAATTTCCACGATTTATTTGTCCATAAAAAACCGAAATGATATAGCACTTTTTAAGAGAACTGTATAGATTACTGTAACTTCATATGTCATATTTTATTTAAAAAATTATCTTTATCTCATAGAATAATATTTAGCAAAACACGCAATATTACAATATGTGTTAATATATAACTAGTGAAGATATTTACATGTCTGTATATCCGTTTCACGACTATTGATTAAAAATTGCTGAGATGAACGTGATGTTTATTGTATCGCCAACAATACTGATAGGTAGGATCCTGAAGCATTCATAATCTATAACAATATTGTGCATTAGGAATTGATATTTAAATAGAACATTGCTATGACGAATATAATATTTCTATAACAAAAAGATGCATTGATAAAAAAATATTTTATCTAATAAATAGTAAATAGTAAATAGTAAATATATATTGTTCAATAAAGATAGAATTAACTATCAAAATTTTCTATTCTAAAAATTTTCTATTCTACTTAAACTTCTTACACTTGTAAAGGATTCTAAGGTGAGATCCATTATCTTGCCAGCTGTTAGCGTCAATTGTTTCTGTGATCTTAATATTATGAGTAACAAAATGCGACTGTCTTTAGATTTCAAATTATACCATGCACAATTGTACGTTGCAAATCCAATCTCTTTGCTCTATGGAAGTAAAAGTAACAAATAGATGTTTGTAATGTTACTTTAATAATAAAATTTAATTCTATGCCTTGTTTTATAAAAAAATACATAAAATTATCTACAATATTAATAATTTCTTTTATTGTTATAGTAGTTATTTTTCATCACTGACCTTACTATTTAAATATTCTCCGGCATAACAAAATATGAATGCCTCTAGATTTGTTGACATGAAAAACAAAAGACACTTCATCATCTGCTCCATAACATCGTCAGTATCAAGAGCCTGAGAAAATAAAGAAGATATAATAGCATTATGCATTATTTAATGCTCAAACAAGCAAAATTTATTTTTACAGCAAAATTTTTGTCCTCAGTGTGATTATTGTACTTACGGTTACAATAAGAAAACCTAGCGAGCACATTAATATTGTGTTTGACGCGAATATCAATAACGCAATGTACGTATACAAACTCTCGATACTTTCTGAAATTTGAATAATTTTTTGATGCTTTAGAATAATCTTGTTTATCGTGATAATGATTGATTTTTGCTCATTTTCGATTTCTTTAGGAATAAATTCTGCCAACCAACGTTGCAAAACATCCATTTGACCACCTACATGTATAATCTAACAAAAAATTTTATTTTTAATTAAAATTTTTTAGCTAAACATTTAAAAATAATTAAACTATCAATAGTTTATATAAAGAAGAATAAAACAAAATATCAGCAATTTATAAATATAATTTCCAAATATATATTTAACAAAATATTTTATACAGATAATATAATTCACGAAATTAGTCTTTAATTTTGTAGAGTTATATTTTTGTCATTAAAGAGCAAAGTATTAATATATTATTGTACAGAAAGGACAATACAAAATTTCAAATAATTATAATTATATACATATTTTTAATTATAATTACTTATGCAATTATAACTTACCATAGCCAAAAATATAATATTTATAACACCAGATGCCCAATTTGTAAGAATCATGTGTATAGATTCTATGATTAACATTGCTCTATACACTCGCTGCGTATTAACGCTGAAGGGAAGTACTAATTTGTTGATAAGTGGCAACTCGATTTTATCTGTAATATCGACATCAGCGATGATAGTTCCTATGCAATACGCAGCAATCGTCACCGTGTGAAGGATGAATATTATATTAGTGATACGATCCGATATTTTTGCCTTGTCTGTCATTACGCGCATGCTGATGTCATTCTTAGCGCAATCATTCCAGTCGTCCGAGATTAACATCAAAGTCTCCACGAATTTTCTGTGGATGATTGTTCCTCGATCATGCTGTCGAATTCAAATAAAAGTCCTATTCATCGCGCCACAGTGAAGCCTATTTTTTAAAATATTTTATCCCCGAAATAACATCACTATCTTTTTTCAGCGAAATTTTTTTCTTATATATTTCTGTAATTATCATATTTTTTCCAGAATCAAGTAATAATAAAAATCAAGTAATAATAAAATCAAATAATAATAAGAACCATCAAGTAATAATAAAAAATTAAATATGTGCATAGAGATAAAAAAGGCTAAGTAATTTTTTATAATCAATATTTTTTATAATCAATATATTATTGTTTTTGATCTTAATTGTATATATCTTAATTGATATGTATACATCAATAATGAAATTATAAATGACAATGAAAAATTTATCATTTCAATAACATTACACACTCGCTTTACTTACCGTTGATTCACCCAAAACGCAATGAGTTTAGTGATTACTTTCGCGTGTGCTAAGAAGCTGCATAAACAATCTACCAAGTTAAAAAAATTTTGCGCATTTAAATGCGTCGTAAAATAGAGACAATGACAGAATCCAATAAATCCTAGTGTAATAATCCAAAATAATCTGCTGATTAAAATAATTATTCCGTCTGAACCGATGCCACACCAAGGAAGCATACGAAACACTATGCGGTTAATTGTGCTTTTAGTCATAACTCTTTATTTCTTTTTGCACTCGATTTATTCAAGCAAACGCATTAGAAAATATTTAATACAGTAAGACTTATTAAAAGAGAATTTTTAAGAAAATTAAAGAATTTAGAGATATATCTTCTAATGACAGAATAATGTATATCATTGGACACTCTGCTAAACTAAAGACTGATGAGTTGTGGGTAGGAGTTGTTCGGGCGGATGCACCTCTGGCAAATCGACCAATGAAAGTTGCTCATGAAATATTTTTATTGTGCGTGCAAGTCTCAAATATGTTTCCTTGAAACTTTGTGGAAAAAAAATGAGAATGAATAAGATATCTTCGATACTCTGGTACTGACAATGCAGCCATGAAGTGCGTACGTTAAATATGTAATGATCCATATGGAGAGTTACATGTATCGTCCGTCCTATGAGAGAATGTCGTCAATTTTTGTCCATCACGGCATTACAACTTTTCTTAGAAATCGTCTACTGGCTAATAAATAGACGATAATGTTTCATAAGAAACAATTGATGGTATAGTGCCGATGCATTGGCGATGTAACTATTGATTTTATTGTCTTAATATTATATCGTATTAATTCGCGATAGTAACGTCACGCAGTAAATGCTGATTTTTGAAACACTGCCTTTTGTATAAAGTTGCATATAATTATTTTTCTCTACTATACGAAAAATTTTTGAGTAATATAGATAAATCTCAATCAAGAAAAATTTTTTTCTATTAAATTAAAATAATATTGATGTGTGCATATCGTTATTATATTTAATATATATTTAACGTGCAAATGAAAATTCTTTTGCAGAGAATAATAAAATATTTTATTTCTAAATTGAAGGAATAAATTCATGATTTTTAATTAATATAAAATTTGATTGTGTTATATAATGTATTGTAATTTAAGAAAAGATGCGAATTAGATTATTGTACTAAATTTATATTTCGGGAAATATAAATTATATATATTACAATGTGAATTCCTAGAATTACTAATATACAAATAATTCCCCAAGTAGTAAGCTAAGTTACTTATTATAATGTCATTATTTTGATGTTAAAATGACATCTTTTATAATGTCTTTTTACTTAAACCATAATACTTCTTTGTTAAAAAAGAAATCGACACTCTAGTTTATTACATTGCCAATAATACCGATAAATATGATCCCGAAGTATTCATAATCTAGAAAAATATTTTGGTATTAGAGAATATTTTGTTTTATATTTTTAATATTAAAAAATACTTTTTATCGCAAAGACGAAATTTTTATGTATATAAATATAAATCTTACGCTTGTAAAAGATTGTAAGGATAGTTCCATCATTTTTCCAGCTGTAAGCGTCAGTGGCTTTTGTGATCTTAGTATAACAAATAACAGGATACGACTATCTTTAGATTTCATATCGTACCATGCAGAACTGTATGCTGCAAAACCAATTTCTTTACTCTATAAAAATGGAAATAATAGAAAAATTTTTAATGTTTTAATATTCTTTATAACAGCTTTTTTAATTAAATACAATAAATTGTTATTTATTAACATTCTATGGTAAATATTAATATTTTTTAAATAAATTTTATTGCTAACCTTGTTTTTCAAATATTCTCCAGCATAGCAAAACATATATGCTTCGAGGTTCGTTATAAAGTAAAATAAAAAGGATTTTACTAATTGCTCTGACGCGTTGGAGCTGCCGATTGCCTGTAATATTGTGCAACAATGTGATATGAGAAAAATTATTAAATATAAACTATTAAATATAACACTAGTAATGTACAATGTATTAAATATGTAATAATATATTTAATTATTATATTTTATTACAACATATTTTAAGTAAATGTAATTAATAAAAACTTAAATAAATAAATTTAAAAAATTAATAAGTAAGTTAATATTTAATGTTATATTATTTGCAATTATATTCTGAAACATTATAAGTTTATATTTAATAATCTTACTCACTGTTACGACAAGGAACGCTAGCAAACAAATCATTACCGAGTTTGACACAAATAGCACCAGCGCAATATATGTAAAAAGACTTTCGATATATTCCGATAAACGTATAATCTTTTTATGCTTATAAATAATTTTAGTTGCTGCGATGGAGACTGATTCATCTTTGCTTTCATTTTTGGAGGATACAAGATGCGTTAACCAGTAACGCACAATATCGATTTGGCCAGCTGTATGAAAGGTCTGAAAATAAAGATTCCATTGCCTATGGAATTAATTAGAATCCGTAACTAGTTGTTCAAACTGCAAAAATGGATATTGTACAGAATAATATTATCAAAATCCGAAAATAGTAATTTAGATAACATAATTTATTCCAATTTTTGTATTTGTCACATATTTCATGCTTTTAAATGGTAAATACAATATAGTTACAAATTTAAAAATTAAAAAATTGTTTAAGTTATATTTTCGCAATCTTGAATATCATTTGCACATCCACAACTTACTAGAATTATTAACAAAGAATTTATTGCACCAGATGACCAGGACCACATCATCAAGAAAAAGAATTCTGTTATTAAAATACATCTATATGTGCGTTGCGTATTTATATCAAAGGGAATTTCTATCTTAGTGAAGAAGCGTAACTCTGTGGTCGTGTTATCGGTAACGTCGACATTGGCCAGAATGACACCAATACCATGGCCAGAAACTGTCATTGTATGAAGAATGAGAATTAAGTTTGTAATACGTTCCGATATTTTTGCTTTGCTTGCTGTCTCACGCAAGCTGATATCGTTATTAGCGCAATCACTCCAATCCTCTTGCATTATTGTCAAAACTTCGATGAATTTTCTATGAATGTTGATGTTCACCGATCATATTGTCGATCTTAAAGCAAGCTTAATTTTCGTGCTGTGACCACATGTTTATTATTCCTGAATGTAATATATGTAAACCAAAATCTCTCACGTATTCCAATCAGCAAAATTTGATGGAATACTTTTATAAATTTTTTTTTCAATTTTGCATACATATGTTACTTACCGCTGATTCAACCAAAACACAAGGCACTTAAAAAGCATTTTGGAATGTGCCATAACGACAGGCAAGATGTCCATGAATTCCCAAAGTGTGGCCGAATGCATATGTATCATAAAATAACGGTAATGACAGCACTGAATAATTATCACTGAAACGATGAATAACATTCTCGAAAATAAAACACATGATGCGCCTGGCCAAACACCGCTCAAAGTGAGTATAAATTTTGCCGTGCGATTAAGCGGATTCTGATCCATAATTTTTTATACGAAAAAAATGATTTTGCTAAAACATAAAAATTTTGTTAGCTATATACAAATCTGAAAATAATTTTATTAGATCATCAAAATAATTATATAGAAAAAACTTGTGTATAATGAACAATACAAAGAAACTTCAATATTCTGCTATATAACAAGCTTCAATATCTACATAATTATTTTGATAAGTAATTATTTTGATGAATTCAGTAAAATTATTTTCAGATGTGTATTGAGCTAAATTTTTACATACTTCGATACCGTTCTTTACGTATAGCTCTTTTTATTCTTGTCCGAATAAATAAGTTTATCAAAATATATGACAGATAAGAATGAAAATCTTTGACTCAAGACAAAAGAAATGCTTTAACCAAGTGTGTGTCTATCTTTGATGGGCTGTTCGGTGAAATATAATTTATATTTTGATGAAAATTATACATCACAGAATATCGAGACTAAGAAATAGAAAAAAAAATCTAAAACATCATTAAACAGCTATATCCCTCAATGCAACAAAATGTATTCATTAAATATTTTTATCATACTGTCAGCACAGATCGCAAATATATTTGCCGTATTTTTTTTCTCAAATTTGTTGCAAGAGAAGAAAGAAAAAAAATAAAGAGTCATTTTTCCCTCATTCGATAATATAACTGCGAATTGTCTACTTTAAATATGCAAAGATTCGTACGGAGATAGATAAAATGACTATATATAGTCTATAGTCAGTCAGTCTGCGGAACTTCAGGAAAATTTCAAAATCTAGAGAAATTGGAAGGAAAGAGAATTCCCATGTGAATGAAATGTTATTTGTAATAATGAAAATGTGTTTATCATAATTTATGTGTTATTAGCAATATTCATGTTTTAGTAATATGATAATAATATTACAAATATTACACGGATTTCTAATCAGGGATGTAAAAATATATATGTGAAAAATTCATCACAATTTAAATAAATCAAAACTATTCGTAATTGTGTAAAAGATAGAATATACGTAATTATAATGTCTGGCACATATAACAAATTACGTATACAAAAGTGACAATTATAATAGTTAATCAAATATATCTTATTAATTATTTAAAATTTATTATAAATTATGCGAGTATAAAAAATATATTGTTTTAATGTTGAGATAAAATGTTTTTAGAAAAGTAAATCCTACAAGTATATAAAAACGTTTTGTTATTTTGATGTTATTATGTATATCATATTCGTTATTGTTTTTCGTGAATTTCATTGGATGAGAGGAAAAAAAAAGAAGGATCATTTCTCTCTCTCTTGAGCATTAATTTATTAATAGTATATTGTCTGCTTTAAATATACAATGATTCATATTTTATGTTTCTGTCTATTACTCTATTAACATATAGGTTTTTTTCATAGAGTTTGGCAATAAACTGAACTAAATTAAATTAAATTAAATTAAAAATTTATGCATAGGCAGATATTACAATAATACCTGATGGCCAATCGTGATCAATGATCTCTCAGAAAAATTCTAAAATATATAGAGGGGAAAGAATCGACAGGAATAAAAATTGTAAAGTGCGATGTTACGGAACATTATTTTACTTGTTAGAATTCAAGCAAATAATAAATTTTATTCTTTACATAGTAAATAGTGTTTATAGTATTTCTTAACTGTAGATGTACCGATAAAACAAAAAAATAAGAAGCTTTATGATTATTTTGTATTATATTTGAAAAAATATGTTGTATTATAATGTGCGTTTTTATAACTAGTGAATTAGAAATAATTTATATTTTCTACAATTATTTAAAAATTATTGATGAACTCTCGTTCATTGAATCGCCAACAGCATTGATAAATATGAACCCGAAGCATTCATGATCTAAAACAATATTATCTGTTACTTCTTTTGTTTTAAAAATTGATATTTTTAGAATAAATATTTTTAGAATAAATATTCTAATATTATAAGTCTATATATAATAAGCAAGTACATATATGCTTTTTTTGTTATCTTTTTTTTCGTATTTAAAGATTAAAAGTTTACATATAATCTTACGCTTGTAAAAGCTTGTAAAGACAAATCCATCATCTTTCCTATCGTGAGTGTCAATTGTTTTTGCGATCTCAATATGATAAATAACAAGATTCGACTTTCAGTAGATTTTAAATCGTACCATTCACAGTTGTACGCCGCGACACCAATTTCTTTACTCTATGAAAATGGAAATAATAAAATTTTTAATATTCACAGTATTCTTTACAATATTTTGCGAGATATAGAAAATAATATATTATATATTTTTATCATTGTTATTATTTTGTTATTAACCTTGTTATTCAAATATTCTCCAGCATAACAAAATATAAATGCTTCGAGATTTGTTGTAGTGTAGAATAGAATTGATTTCATTATTTGTTCAACCGCGTTGGGGCTTCCGATTGCCTGAAAAATTGCAAAAATAATATACGAGAAGTTATTAAAAATACAAATCAACAATATGATATAAAATATAAATTAAACATAACAAAGAAAATGAAAATGTATAAATATACAATATAAATAATACTATGTAATATAAAAAATAAATTATTAAATAATATTATTGTCAATTACAATTAGAAGAATTACAATAGTTTTGTATTTAATGATATTACTCACTGTTACGATAACAAAACCTATAGAACATATCATTATTGTGTTTGACACAAACTGAAGCAATGCAATATACGAATAAAGTATTTCAATGTTTCTTGAAAAACTGATGATTTTTTGGTGTTTTTGAATAATTTTGCTTGTAGTCGCAGCTACTGATTTATGTTTATCTTCATTCTTACGAGGCACAAGCTGCATCAACCAATGACGCATAATCTCGATTTGGCCAGCCGTATGTAAGATCTGAAAATAAAAAATAAGAAACTAAAAATAAAAATACCTTAGATACAAACTAAAATAAGATGTATACAGAATATTTTAGGATCTCTAACACAAAATTTAGGAGATCTTATAAAAAGAAAATCAACTTTTGTTCAGGAAAATCAACTTTCTGTTCTCCAACATAGTTTTAAGGAACCGTGAGTCCGGTTACATGTGATGTCTGACATATTCTTTGATTATATTTTTGTAAAAAAAGAACAGCGAAGAAAGCAAAAATGTAGGCTAGTAGACGTGCGCAATGTTGTTAGCGATCGATTGCGTGTCTTACAACCGGTCGAACAAGGTCATGTAATTCTTTAAAAATGCCTCGGAGAATACAAATTTTTTAACGAGATTTGATTTTTTTGGATGAATCATTATTTATATTTCCCCTCAAAAAACGAATTAAATAAACGTACAATGATTAAATAATATCGTCAAAACACAAATAGAATTTTTTATAAGCCATTTTAATTTTTGCATCTTTTATGTTGGCATTCAAACGCATATTATCATTTTAATTAGATACAATTTGCATGGATAAAGAATTTTTAACTTACCAGTGTTAATAATAAAGAGTTTGTTATACCAGCCGCCCATCCGCAAAGAATCATAAGTAAAAATTCCGCGATTAAAACAGTTCTGTATGTAAATTGAGTGTTTATGTCGAAAGGAATTTCTATCTTGTTGACTAAAGGCAGTTCTTTCGTAGTGTCAGAGACATCAGTATCAGCTAAGATAATACCAATGCAATATGCAACAATTGCCATTGTATGAAGGGTGATGATTGCATTTGTAAAGCGATCCGATATTTTTGCTTTGCGTGTTGTCTCACGTATGCTGATGTCATTATTAGAGCAATCATTCCAATCTTCTGCCATCACTGTCAAAATTTCGACGAATTTTCTGTGAATAATTGATTTTTATTAATCACATTATCAAAATAATCTTAATTGTCATGTAAATGTCTAGGCACTTAAAATTAACAAATAATTAACAAATAAAATTGTTTGATTTTTATTCACCAATAATTTTTGTTTATAAATTATTAATATAATGAATATAATTATATATTGATATTATAAAATAAAAATATTGCTACAATATTTTTTAATTAAAGCGCTTTATAATATTTTCTTATCTGAAGCTGGTCAAATTAGTATGAAATGCACACATAATATTTTAAAAAGAATGGTGATTACATAGTAATATTATTTGCAATTCTACTTTTAAAGAGAAAGTTATTATAAAAATAAATTTTCTGTAAAATTGTAATTTTGAAATAAGAAAATATATTTTTCGCTAGTTTTGACATGAATGATTATAGTGACATCAATTGTAATATTTTTATCTAATGCAACATTGTATACAAATTAAATAATATTACTTACTGCTCATTTAACCAAAACACAAGGAACTTAATAATAATTTTAGAATATGCTAGGAAACTGGACAGACAATCCATTAAATCCAATATTTCGGCAGAATGTACATGTGTCAGAAAATAACGGTAGTGACAGAATAAAGTAACTGTCAATGAAACAATCCAAAATATTCTACAAGGTAGAACAAACGATGCGCCCGGCCAAATACCACACAAAGCGAGCATAAATTTCAACGTGTGGTTAAGTGTAGTTTTACGAGTCATAATTTCTTATTTCTTTTTATTCTTCGTTGTATACAGCGAATTTATCAAGATACGTATAAGAACAAGAAACTTCAGGTAGACAAAAGAAATATATTCTGATCAAACGCATACGTTTCTACATATTATAGGTGCATGCATGAAGAAAACTGGAAGTTTCAAAGAAATTTCAATAGATTCAACCATTAACAATTGATCGTAATTGGAGTTGCTCATTAAATATTTTCATCATGCCGAGCGCATAGACCGCGAATACATTTTGTTGTGGTTTTTCATTTATTTAACATAAGAAATGGAAAGATACGTGAGGTTTTTTCCTCTCTTGTGCGTTTGTACTACAATCGTGAATTGTTCACTTTAAATATGTAATGATACGTGCGGACGTAGATACGATATATATGTCCAATGATCAATCATGACCACGATGTTTTAGAAAATGTCTTAATCTCTCAAGAATGAACAAACGGGCAACTATATACAATACTACAAAATGTTACATTAATTTGCATATAATAGCTAAAAGTGATTTTGTTATAAAAATATAGATACGGATAAAATACAATTAAGATTAACAAATGGATTTGTATCTGAAAATGTATGTGAAATAATATTACATATATATCAATCAGAATTTGCGCAAATGAATATTCATACAGATTAAATGATATAATTTCGTTAATTCGTTACATTATATTTTTTGTAAATAATTTTAGTGTAAATCATTTTGTAAATCATTTATCTTTTTATAACGAGAAATGTATACCTAATTATTTAACTATTTTATTTAATATTTTCTTTAAAAATTGAAATGTGTGTAAAACTGGACATGGAAAACACAAAAGTCACATCAGATTATCGTATTTTTCATTAATTCAATTTTGATTATTGATTAATAATATTATTGATATGACATAATATAATTATCTTACAATTCTAGAAAATAGAAAGCTAAGGTACTCTGATAACATTTTAAAAAATGACTTATTTTATATTCTATTATAGATTACTACAATGTAGATTTTAGAATATTTAAATTATACTACTATTTAAGCCATATAAAATATATGTTGTACTATATGCATCTAGTGAAGATATATTTACTTCATAATATATACTTCACGACTACTGTATAAAAATCTTCAAATATGTGACGTAATTATTGCATAGCCAGTAATACTGACAAATATGATCCTGATGCTTTCATGATCTAAAATAAAGTACGGTCTTTTTATATTAGAAATTAATATTTCAGAAGATTTTGTCACCAAGGAACGTTTTAAATATTGCTATAAAAAATTTACAAACTTAATGGATTGGTAGAAAAAAAATTTAGATAGACAAAAAGTAAATTTTATATAGAAAGTAAATTTTATATAGAAAGTATCTTGATACAAATATTACGTATATAATTATTGTCCAAAATTATTGTATGTACTATGTATAAGTCTTACACTTGTAAATGATTCTAAGGAGAGATCCATTATTTTTCCAACTGTAAGTGTCAATTGCTTTTGCGCTCTTAATATCACGAATATTAAATTACGACTGTTTTTAGGTTTCATTTCATACCAGGCGGAATTGTACGCTGCATTTCCGATAGCTTTACTCTGAATGTTGAAAATTGTTAAAAGAGGTTGCCATAATATGTATTAATTTATATGTTTTAAAATATATGTATTAAAATTTCTTCTTCCAACAATCTCAAAATAATCATTATTTTCATAATTATTTTCTCATCTCTAACCTTGTTTTTTATATATTCTCCTGCGTAACAAAATATAAATGCTTCGAGATTCGTCACGGTGTAAAATAAAAGAGATCGTACTATGTGTTCCGTTGCATCGGGACTGCCAATTGCCTGCATTATTAAAGTAGCAATTATTAAATACGTTCCAAAATTATAAATAGACTTCTGCGTTACTTTAATTAATAACAAAAAATTTATTTTGTTACAAAAATTAACGTTTAATTTTATAAAATGCAGTATTCATTATTATGTATAATACTTAATGTTTTTACTCGCCGTTACAATAAGAAATCCCAAAGAACAAATCAGCACAGTGTTTGATGTAAATTGCACTAACGCGATGTATGTATATAAATCTTCAATATATTCCGAAAAATTAATGATTCTTTGATGTTTGTGAATAATTCTATTTGTCATGACAGTCTCGGATCCTTCATTTTTTCGTGGTACGAGTTCACTTAACCAGCAACGCAAAATATCCATTTGACCACCTACATGTAAAGTCTAGAAAGAAAAATGATTTTTTGTCTATCAATCATTATGTGTATCAATCAAAGTAATGCATTAAATAACCAAAAAACCGTTTTAAGACAATATTGCAATTATTTTTATAATTACCAATATGTATTATAATTATTTTTATAATTACCAATATATATTATTTATGACATGTATATTTCGCATGCGTTGCTTACCAAACTGACTTACTAAAGTTAAGAGCAAAGCATTTAATAGACCTGTTCCGCAGCCGGACATGATAAGATGCACGAATTGCATAGCCAGAAGCATTTTATACATGCGTTTTGTATTTATGTTGACAGGAAGCTCCACCTTTAAGAGAAGAGGTAGTTCGGATTGCTCGGAGATGTCGACATCAGCCAAGAGAATGCCAATACTATACGCAACAATAGTTAATGTATGAAGAGTAAACATTGCATTAGTGATACGATCTGCTAATTTAGCTTTGCATGCTGTTTCGCGCATATTGATGTTACTGCTAGCGCAATCGTTCCAGTCCTCTGCCATTATCATCAAGATTTCAAAGAATTTTCTACAAATTATTAACTTGATTATTCGGCTATGGGAAAAATGTAAGACACAGAAGCCTGTGTATTTAGAGAAGTATACTGTATAAAGTATTTTTATAAACACTAAATAATTTTTTAAAATGTATACAAATGTATATAAAATAAAATACATAAAATGTATTTTTATTTATGTATTATTTTCTTTAAATGATTCTTTAACTTTCCTTTCTTATTTACATTTTGGCAAAATAAAATGTGTACAAAAATTTTTTATACCCTTATTGTCAGAAATTTAAAAAAATAAAAATTTGTGTATAACGTATAATAATTATTAAATATTTTATTTATTTGTTTATCTATATAATTATAATAAATATAGAAAGTAATGACAGAAAATAATGGAAATGACTTTAGATAACACATATGTTAATTATTTACTGTAACATTTGTACTTACCGTTCATTCAGCCAAAATATAATCAATTTAATTGAAAATTTTACTTGCGTTAGGAAACTACTGAAACAGTCCATCAGATCAAAAATATCTTTAGAATGCAAATGCATTAAAAGATAACGGCAATGACAAATTTCATCTATTGCTAATGCGATAATCCAGTACACCCTGCAGATTATAACACATGTTGTGCCTGGCCATATACCACACAGGGTGAGCATTAATTTTAACGTACGATTAATTGTGCTTTTATGTGTCATTTTCCTTATTTCTTTTTACTTTCGTTTTTATCCGAAGAAAAACATCAGTTTATACATAGGACAAACGTTTCTTCAGAGAAGTAAAAGAAGTTGTTCTCTGTTTTTCAATTATTTTTTGTTCAATATTCAATATTTTCCACTCAGTATTTTCCAATGAGAACTCGATGTATATTCTAGAATAACTTCATAAAGACTGGAAGATCCTACAAAATCATCAAATAGGCGCTCTCTACCATGATCGGCCAATAAGAATATCTCATTAAATGTTCATTTCATGCAGCCCTTACATACATTTATCGTAGCTTTTCACAACATCGATATAAGAAGAGAGAGAATAGTAGGGTCATTTCTCCTTCCCTTGGGTGCTGGTAATGTAATAGCATATTATCCAGTTTAAATATGCAATGATTCATACGAACATGACCGCGACGACGCACGCATCTGACGGTCAGCCGCACTTCAACGTACACTCCGGAAAAGTTTTGAAATTCATGCACCAAAGCAGCAGAAAAGCAACAAAGAAACCCAAGTGCAGTAATATATAAATATATCCGAATGTACAAAGCAATTTGCAGCGTATCTGTGTGGACTAATGTTTTACAAGAAATCAACAAGTGCATAGAAAATGCATAAGTAACAATAGATATGAAAATAACCAGTATAATGTTTCAAATACGAAGAATATGTTTGAAGAACTAAGGAATTATGTGTCCTAAATAGAAACCATAGTAAGAATACATAATTTTTCTCAAACTAATGAAAGAAATATCACGATGTTACAGTTTTCTATATAC